GGGCCCCCCACAGACCTGGATTTCGGGGGTTCACAGTGGGGGGGGGGGCCGGGCCCCCCCTTGTCGTGCAGGTCGGAGGGGCCCCGGGGGGGGTCCCGGGGGTCCCTTTATGGCTTCGGTGTCGGGGCCCCCCCCGGCCGGGCCGGACCCTCCGGCCCCGGAGCCTGTGGAGAGAGGGGGCAGTGGGCTCCCAGTATGGCCCAGGGGACTCCCAGTATGGTAAAGTGACATCCCCGTATGGTAATGTGAACTCTCAGTAGGGTCAAGTGGCTTCCTAGTATGGCTTGGTGTTCCCCAGTATGGCCCAGGGGGCTCCCAGCATGAAGAAGTGGCCTCCCAGTATGAAAAAGTGGCTTCCCAGTATGAGAAAGGGGCCTCCCAGTATGGTCCAGTGGCCTCCCAGTATGAGATGGTGACCCCCAGTATGAAAAAGTGGCCTCCCACTATGGCCCAGTGCCCCTCCATTCCCTCCCAATCCCTCCCAGGACCCTCCCAGTTCTTCCCAGTACCTCCAGTACCCCTCCTAGTGCCCCCAATAACTCCCCAACTCCCCTCCCAGTGTGTTCCTAGTGCCCTCCCATCCCTCCCAGTGCCTCCCCACTCTCTCCCAGTGTTCCCAATAACTCCCCCAGTCTCTCCCAGTGCCCCCCAGTCCCTCCCAGTGCCCCCAACAACTCTCCCAACGCCCTCCAGTTCCTCCCAGTCCTCCCCCATCCCTCCCACTGCTCCCAGTCCAGCTCTCACGGGCTCACTGGGGGCCCAGGGGCTCCCCCAGGGCCGGTTTGTCCCGCGAGGTCCCTTTGGCCACCAGAGCCTTTTCCTGGGGACATTTGGGGACATTGGGGACATTGGGGACACACTGGGGTACATTGGGGACATTGGGGACACACTGGGGTACATTGGGGACAGTGGGGACATTGGGGCGGATTTGGGGACTTTGGGGACATTGGGGTTTCTTGGGGGTCCTGTGGGTTTTGCAGGATCCTGGGGGGTCCCCGTGGGTTCCTGATGGACTCAGGGGGTCCCAGGGGGTCCCAACAGGTTGGGGGGAGTCCTGAGGGTCCCCACAAGTCCTGGGGGTCCCGGGGGATCCCAGGTGGGGGGTCTCACCTCGACGAGCGTGTGCCAGTGCTCGATGGGCTTGCGGGGGTTCGCCAACATCTGCGCCCAGTGCTCCCGCCCTGGACCCTCGGCATCGCTGCCCACCCGGCACAGCCCGATCACCTCATTGTGCCCGATGCTGGGGGGGGCCACTGGGGGGTCAGGGGGGCACCCCCAGACCCCAAAAACCCACCATGGACCCCAAAAACCCACCATGATGCCCCCAAACCCACCACAGACCCCAAAAACCCCCCAGGACCTCCCAAATCCCAGGCCCTCATTTTTGCTCCCTTGTGCTATCCCCCTCACATGAGGGGTCCCCAATGGCTCCAGGAGGACCCCAAACACCCCCCCGGACCCCCCCCCCCCCGAGCCCCCCAGGACCCCAAAACCCTCCCAGGACCCCCCAGAGTTCATCCAGGACCCCTCAAAACCCCCCCAGCATTGACCAGTCCCAGCCAATGATGGGGGTCCTCAAACACGCCTCAAACGAAGGGGTCTCCCATTGCTCCAGGAAGACCTCAAACCCCCCAAGGACCCCCCAGGAGCCCCCCCAAGCCCCTGCAGGGCCCCCCCGGCTGACCAGTCGTAGTCCACGACGGCGATGGTGAGGCTGACGTGGTTGACGCTCTCGTGGGGGACGTCAAAGACCAGCGCCTCGTTGTAGCTCGGGTTCAATGTGTTCTTCTTGATGGACGTCTTGCGCTTCTTGAGTCGCCGGCCCTCAGCCATGAGCGAGGCCTTCACGTAGGGGTCTGCTCAGGGGGCCCCAAAAACCCCTCAGCGACCCCACAGAAACCCTACATACCTGAGCACATCTTTACCACACACCTGTGACACATCTGAGCACACCCGGGCACACCTGTGACGCACCCGAGTACCCCCTGAGGTCCATGGCCCTGTGTCCCCCCATGTCCCACACCTGTCTGACACACCTGCGACACACCTGTGACACACCTGGACACACCTGGGCACACCTGGGCACACCTGTGACGCACCTGAGTAGCCCGTGAGGTCCATGGCGCGCAGGTTGGACGCCCGGATGACGGTCACCGTGAGCCGCCCGGCCGTGGGCAGGTAACACAGCGAGAAGTTCACCTCGCCCAGGTCTGGCTTCTCCTGGGGAGACGTGGACAGGTGAGGGACAGGTGAGGGAGGACAGGAGGGTCACATGACCATGACTAGTTAATTAAATCAGAAATGAAATTGTGAATTAAATTATGGGTTAATTAATAAACCAACTCATTAATTAAATCTCAAATGGAATTATAAATTCAATTCCCAAATTAAATCCCCAATAAACCCAAAATTGAGTCAGAAATTAAATCGTGAATTAAATGCTAAATGGAATTATAAATTCAATTCCCAATTAAATCAAATTCCAAATTAAATCCCAAATTAAAATCCCAAGTTAAATGCCCAAACAAATCAAATATCAAACCAAAAAATAAATCAGGAATTATATTATTTTAGATTTTTATTATGTTCATAATTAATTTTAGTATTATAAATAATAAACTTAAATCACATATTAAATTCTAAATTAAATATGTAAATAACAAATGACGTCACAAATTAAACCTTCAATTAAATAATAAATCAAAAATTTAATAATAAATTAAACCCCAAATTAAATCCCAAATTAGATCCCACATTAAATCCTGAATCAAATCCCCAATCAAGGTGCAAAACTAAATTAAAATGCAAATCAAAATGCAAATTAAACCCAAATTCCACTGCAAAATGAAATGCAAAGTAGATGCAAATGAGATGCAAACCCAGATACAAATGAGATTCAAAATAAATTAAGAAAATATATGCTGGATGTAAAATAAATGCAAATTAAAATGCAAATGATATGCAAAATAAACAGAAATCATGTATTAACAAGATTCAAAATCAGATGCAGATGATATGCAAATAAGATTCAGTATAAATACAGGTTAAATATGAAATAAACAAAATAAATACAAATGAGATGCAACACAAATACAAATGATATACAAATGAGATGCAACATAGATGCACCTCATATGCCAAATACATGCAAATCACATGTAAACGAGTCAAAATAAATACAAATTGTGTTCAAATTAGATGAAAAATTAATATTAACTACATGCAAAATAAGTACAAATCAGATGCAAATTGGAAGGAAAAAAAAAGTAAATACAAATTATATGTCAAATAAATACAAATGATATGTAAATTGTATGCAGATGAGCCCACCCATTGAACAGCAGCCCCCGCCCCCTCACCTGCCCCCACGCTTGTCCCAGGGACCCTTTCTGGGGGGATTCTGGGTGTCCCAACTCCCTCCCCAGGGGGTCCCTCTCTCCCCCCCCCCGTTTTCGGGCCCCCCTTACCCCCGTGCCCTCCTGGATGTCCCTCCAGATGGGCACCTCGGGCCGCCCCTCGGCCGCCTCCAGCAGGTTCTCCAGCACCACCTGCCCGATGAGGTCGTGCCGGGAGAAGCGGTCGAAGTCGTAGACGCTGAAGTGGAGGCGCCGCGAGGGCAGCTCAGCAAAGGGCACCCCGAAGCTGAAAGTCTCGTCCCACTCTGGGTTCAGGGTCTTCCTCAGCACCTTGGTCTGGAACTTCTTCTTGCGGTCGGGGAGGAGGTAAATCTTCACGTAGGGGTCAGAGAAGCCGTTGGAATCCTTGGCCGGGAGGTCCCGGGCGCGGAGCACGCGGACCACGAGCTGCTGGGAGCCGTAGGAATAGCGCAGGGACACGCTCAGGCGGCCGCAGGGAGGGGGGGGGCCCCCCCCGGCGCCCCCCCGGGCCCCCCCGGGCTCGGCGGTATCCCCGGGGCCGTAGAGCTCAGGCTGGATCTGGCCCAGGTGGGTCGGGTTCTGCTCGGCCTTGTCCTCCGGGACGGGGGGCAACGGGGCGCTGGGGGGGGCAAAAATAGGGAGAGGGGGTTGAAGGGGTTGGTATGGACCCCTCCATGGGGTGGGGAGGGTGGGGAGCCCCCCCATGTCCTGTCGTGGTGAGGGGGCTGGGGGGGGGCACCCATGTGACCTTCCTGGTGGGTGGGGAGGCAGGGGGGGCACCCAGAGACCCCCACAGGGCACGTGGGGACAGCAGGGGCACTCCTGGGTATGGGGGGACACCCAGAGACCCCCCCGGGAACATGGGGATGGGGGGGTGTGTCCCTTGTGCCCCCCCCAGTTCACAAAGCTGGGTGTTCCCGTGTCCCCCCCTTGTCTCCCCCACCCTCTGTGTCCCCCCCTTGTCCCCACGTTCCCCCTCATCCCCCCCTTGTCCCCACACCCCCCCCTTACCTGCTGCCCACCAGCTGCTGGGAGGGGGCGCTGGGCAGACCCCCCCCTACCCCCCCATCACCCCCAAACTCGGGGGGGCCCTGGGGGGGTCCCGGGGGGAGTCCCTGCCCCGCGGGGGGGGGTCCCAGCGCCCGCCCCCCCCCGCTGCCCCCCCCTCCTC